AACAATAATAGTGGTATCATCTGCGTAAAGAATGATATGAGCTAGACCTTTTAGGATACTAGGAAAGTCATTGATGTAGACATTAAACAGTAATGGACCCAATACTGAGCCCTGGGGAACACCATGCCTGCTAGTTAACCATCTGGAAACAGAAGTGTTAAGGTTTTGAGTCTGTAATAGAGTTCTCTGCTTCCTGTTAAATAAGTATGATTCAAACCATTTCAAAATGGATCCTCTAATTCCATAATGTTCCAACTTTTGAATTAACAAGTCATGGTTAACGCAATCAAATGCCCTTGTAAGGTCACAAAAAATACCTACTACCAGTTCCTTATTATTCCATGCTTTATATATTGAGTTTGTTAAGTTAAAAATTGCATTTTGTGTCGATGCACCATTTCTAAATCCATATTGCTCATCAACAATAATATTATTATTTGTCAACTGTTGTTTTAACCTATTAAAGACTAATATTTCAAATAATTTGGAAAATCCTGTCAACAGAGAAATAGGCCTATAGTTAGATATTTCGGATGCATCACCCTTTTTAAAACATGGTATGATGTTGGCATATTTTAGCCGATCTGGGTATATTCCAGTATATAAGGATAAGTTATAGATATAGGTGAGTGGTTTAGCTATCTGCTCACCGCATAACTTGATAATTTTATTGGACAGCCCATCGTATCCACAGGAAGTCTTATTCTTTAGTGAAGAGATTGTGCTTAAGACTTCTGTTAAGGTAATTGGAATATTAGCTATTTCAGGAAACTTATCAAGAAGGCTCTTTCTAATTATAGGATGTACACCTTCATATATAGGATACTGGCCAATTAGCTTTTCCACTGCGTTTATAAAGAATGTATTAAAAGACTCCGCTGCTTTATTGATGTGTATTTTTTTATTATCACTTCTTAATTCTGATGGAATAAACTTCTTTTTGGATGCATGACCTACTTCATTATTAATAATTTTCCAGGATACCTTGGATTTGTTGGTACATTCAGATAACAATTTGTTATAGTACAGTTCTTTTGCTTTACTAATGACTCTTTTTAATATGGCACAATATCGAGTATAATACTCTTTTAATTGAGGATGACTAGTAGCTCTGCACATTATAAAGAGAGATTTTTTTCGTCTACAAGACACTCTAATACCATTAGTAATCCACTGATTATTGTATGCAGCATTTACCACTAATTGCATTGGAAAACACGATTCAAAAATAACTAAGAAAGTATTCAAGAATGTATTGAAACTAGCATTAACATCTGTGTTACTGAGGGTATTGTCCCATTTCTCATTTTGCAACATGTCAATAAAATTTAAGACTCTAGACTTGGTTAATAGTCTTTTCCTAACAAGTCTATTCTTTTTCATTTGAGTTCCAAAAACATTATTTACCACTAGATATTGTGCGTCATGATCAGAAAGCCCATTGTTTACAGAGCACACATGGAAGGTATTTAATCTATTATAGTCCAAAAAAATATTGTCTATAGCAGTACTTGACACTTTAGCTATCCTTGTAGGGAAGTCAACAACATGGCACAAGTTATATGTTTGCAAAAGTGAGATTACCTGGTGAACATTATTTGAGTTACTTAGAAAGTTGACATTAAAATCTCCACATAGTATAATTTCAAGCTTTGGCTTGTATAAGAGCTTCATAATTACTTCCAGTTGATTAATAAATACTTGTATATCCCCACTGGGAGATCTATAAATACATAAAAATATAAAGGTAATATTACCAGTTTTTATCTGTATTGCACAGGCCTCTATAACCTTTTCTATACAATATTTGGAAATGTCCACTACATTACATGTCAAATCTGATTTACAATAGATGCATACACCACCTCCAGTATTGAGTTGACGTGAAAAATTGGAGGCCAGGTAGTAGTTCTCAGGTTTTATCATCAATAATTTCGGCTCAACTAAATAATGCTCTGTAATACAAATAATGTGCGGATTTAAATCAAAACTGTGCAGCATACAAGTTAATTCATCGATTTTGTGTTGCAGTCCTCTTATGTTTTGGTGAAATACATTTAATGTATTATGGTTAGTCTGAATAAGTTTAAAGTTACTTTGTGACTCATCCCAGCTACCTTGGTTAGATGTCGTTACCATAAAAAATCATCATATCTACTTGCTGGTGGTCTTCTTTGTCGCTTACTTGGCAACGTAGTAGGTGTCTTTCCCTGCTGTTTATCTGCCTCCCCAGAAGAGATTGCTAGTATAAATTGGATAATTTCATTGGTTACATAATGTAAGTTATTGTGCAGATATGAAATAGTTGTTAAAATGTGTATTGCTATCATCACTTTATAACACTGTGGTCTGGTATGTGGTTACCAGTGGTTCAGAGGAAGCTGCTGTGTTTATCTTTGGTGAAGAATATCTGAAGATGGAGGCAGTATTTTCCTCCAAAACATTAGTACCAACCTATTAGATGGCATGCTGTCATAACCCAGGTGACAAAATTGTGCATCATTGAGATGTTTTAACTTTGGTGAAGTGAGAGTCATTTGTTGTAACACAGCACACATCAAGAATTTGTTTGTCCACAGCGATGCTGAAATTACCGTGATCGGTTCAAGAGGATCCACACAGAAAGCTACAGTGGTTGGTGTGGATGATTTTGGCTTCCTGAGAGTTCGAGGACAGGATGGGATACCATTTAGTGTGCATCCTGATGGTAACTCATTTGACATGCTGCGAGGCCTGGTTGCACCCAGTGTGAAGTAGACATTTGCAGCCCATTATGGGCTCCTTCTAGTGCATGCCCAGTGGTATATTGCACACTGGATATGTTGAGTTTGCAAGAAATGTGTGACACATTACCTTTATACAACAGTTATTTCTGGATGGGTTTAATGTGAATGGTAAATAATGGGAAAAGCTGCATGAAAATGAGCATAAATTTCCCCCCATATAATGAAACACTAAGTTCATTTAAGCCTGAATTCTTGAGTTAGAAATCTTGATTTCTGGAATTTTTGTGTTACCTTTGTCATGGCAATATTACTATACAAAAACTGGAGCAGATGCTTGTACTGTGATCTAATGATCCCTTGCATGTGCACTGAGTGCTATCTGCCTTGAAATAGCATTGACCACTGGTCACCTGTTTGCTTGGTCTATTGCCAAGCTGGACATGCTGCAGGCTTGCAATGCTCTCTGGTGCTTGGAGCTGAAATGAAGATCTGGCAATGGTGCTGCATTCCTTTGCCTTAGCTTCTGTTTCTATATCATATGTGGCTAGAGCCAGGGATCCTTAAGTTACAGCGGGGCTGCAGTTCCAAGGCATGTGGGACTTGCAACGTTTTGTTGGTTGATATTCATGTCATTTTCAGAGCTCTGTCCACTTTATTTAAATGACAAAAACTCACCTGTTGTTACTTGATCTAACACGTGTCTTGGCATTTATCTTGAAGAATGAAGGAATCCCCACAAAAATCTCAAAGGAGTATCAGTAAGTTCCACTTATGGTGTCACTGGTTGCTTTTACATTCAAATAATTTTCTTGTAGATAATCAAAATTGTTATGTAGTCCTGATGTTTTGTTGTTAGTACAAATTATACTTGTATTAGCTATGTTTCTTTCTTCTCTCTTCCTTGTCCTTAGGATTGAAGAAACAAATGGAAACAGGTTAATGAACGCCGTTTCCATTTTGAAGTGGAAGGAACAAATGTTACCAACATTGTCAGTGTGTTACCTTCCTAGCTCTTCATTATGCATAATTCTGAGCCAAGACTCTGATCAGTTCTGCCGTAACCTGTCAACAGATATAATGTAGACATAATTGATATTGAAAGGTAAAAGTAAAGTTGTCCCTGTGCTTGATTAAATACCACACCACGAAGAAGTATGCAGAAAACTTTTGTGCCTTGTAGTGTAACTACATAGAGCTGAATTCTTGAGAAGCTAATAGTTGCTCAGCTCCTGAAGAAATTTTCAGCATTTTCTGGAACCTGAAGGTCTTTACCACATTCAGAAGAGCCCACCACAGGTCCCTGTGGTGAACCATATGAATGCAGTTCACAGTCTCCCATCCCATTTCTTTAAGATCCATTTTATTATTATCCTTCCATTTACATTTTTTTTAATGATGGACAGATGGTGAGTCAGGATAAACAGGCAGGAGAAGATACAGATTGTAGATTTAGTTCTCAAGGTTGTGTAGTTTCTGTAAGAATATATTAATATCCATAGGTTGTGTTTTGTTATAATGGGCCTCCAGTGTGACAACCTACATACTTCGACATCCAATCACATGATCGCCAAGAAAGGAAAGTGTAAGAACCACTCAGGTTTTCATGGTGGTCTTTGTTGTATACTGAAAGATCTTTTTGGTTGTAACAGTGTGTATTGTAAGGAGTAGCTTCTGACATTTCAAGCATACCTACTGCCTCCATCTTCACTGTAGAAGTTACAGCTTCTACATAAGAGACGATGAACATCACAGTTGAATGGCTGGCATTTCTGCTTCATATTTCGGAGATTCTTTGCTGAAAACTCAACTCAAGATTGGTGTTCCTGACTGAGGTATTTTATGATTTTCAAGTTTCTCCAGTCAAAATTCTGTGCTAGTACCTAAAATTTCCACATCTTATTTTACTAATCCTCTCATCTGACACCATACAGTTTGAGCTGCTAAAAGTGACATTATGTTATCTATATTGAAAGTCAATTAGTGTATTTTGTGGTTGAATGATCAGCACTCCTGTTTTATATGCAGGAGGTCACAGGTTTGATTCCCAGCCATGAGCTTGGATATTCTGTTTGAGGATTTCTGCATTCATTCTAGGCAAATGCTGTGATAGTACCTTAAAACAGGCCATGATTGCTTGCATCCTTATCCTTTCCAATTCAGTATTTACCATTTATTGTATTATTTGATGCCTAATAACCTGTGCAGTTGAGAAATTGTGGTTAAATCAAATCTTTTTCGTTTACAAGAATGCTTTTTCTAATAAATGTTACAATGTCATATCCCCACCCTTCTTCTTTCAGTTGTCTTTCAGTATTTGAGCTCATGTTGCATTTGGCCTAGGACTCTGTCTCTCCATTTTCAAGTCCTCTGATAAACAGAAATGTCATATGCATGTTTTGTGTGTGGGATCTTATTGGTGTTTGTTATGATGTATTTTATAAACATAATGTTTTTGCTGCCATGTTAAAATTCTAGTACAGCTATTCTATATAATGTTACAAATGTAATGTTGTTGTTACAATTTATTATTATCAGATGATTGTAATAGGTGCCATGTATGTATTTTCTTCAGAAAGATGTGTGATATCCCTTGTAAGCCAAAGAGTTGGTGGCATCAGACCTGCTGAAAGAATGTTCTGTTCTGGATACATTGCAGCCTGTAAAGTAAGCTAAGTGTGCATCATAGCATGCGTGTATAAATAATGAAGTTCACTTTAAATTAATTGGCAAGGAAACACCATGTATCAAAAAACTATAAATGAAATTATATAATTATCCCATAAGAGGTTATAATGTATGTCAAACATTATCAGCATACTCAAAATGTATTGAACTATATCTGTAAAGGTAATGTCATGTGCCCATTTATTTAGTTTCAGCCAAAATTCAGTTTGATTAACCAATGTTAAAGTTAACTGCATTCTTTAGGTTGGCACTCGATGGAGGTGAGTGGCCATCTTCACACAATAGTTGCTTTACATGTGAGGAAAGCTATTGGATAGGAGACTAGGTGGGTCCCAGAGCTGATCTGGATGCAGTGGTAAAGACAGAAGTCTCTGGGCCTGCTGGGAATCTAACTGTGGTCATCAGCATGTAGTCTTATATTACATTGGAATACAGTTAATTTACATGATATGTCATAGGGCTGATGTGCTGCAGTTACTGACACAAGTACAGTGCTTACCCTATCTCACTTTACATTTTACTGCAGTTGCCATAAGTACAAAAGTCTATTCTAAATGCTGGGATATGTTGTAAAGCAGCTGAACAACTGATGTTAAATGAGAGATGAGAAGCAGCAACCAACTTTGGTACTTCCAGGGATGTGTAGCTTCCAGCCTTTTTTATGAAAATTTGTGAGAGCATGATCTCCAAATTGGTTAAGAACAAATATGGATTTAATGTTATTCAGAGTGTTAATGTATGTTCTCTATGTCTGAAATTTGTTGTTATGAACATTAAAAATGTTTATAAAGTAATTTAGTTGTATCTATGTCTTTTTACCAAAGAATATGATATGGACCAGATACTGGTCTGTCACAAAAGTGGTATATTAATTTTTTGTTTAAGAGTTACCATGGTTTGGTTCATCGGTTTTATATTATGATCTTTGTGTCACTAACTGATGGCTGCTGACATTTAAACTACTAGAACTTGTAAATTGAAAGATAAAGAGCCATTTGTTGTGAAATTTCAGTTGATTCATATTTTTTTTGTGTCATTCAAAAGAACCAGTCCTGAATTGGTAGTTGAATTTTCCTGCTATCTGAGGGTACAATTTAAGTGGTTATTGTGCTACTGAAAGGTTAAAGTTACATGTAATATTATGAACCATTTGTATAATGCGAGATGACAGTGAAAGTTTAGATTGTGGCCTTTGGGCTTACAACACCTCATAGTCTCCTTACCCTGAAGATGGATGCAGGAGTTTCCTCTAAAATCTTGGTAATCACCTACAAGACTGCATGGAGTCATAATTGAAGTACACAGTCTTAATATCTGTATAATAATTCTACATGTAATATATTTTCAATTTGTTATTATTTACAGAAACTGTAGTTGTTATAATGTACAATTTTTGTGTATTGCTCTGTGACCTTAACTAGTTCCACATTTCAGTCTACACTTAAAAGGTAAATTAGTGATGGATTTTATTAGCACATTCTTAGATAAGCTTGTAAAGAAGCATACAATTGTGGGAAGCTTTTTTTATTATTATTTTATTTGTACATATGTGAGTATTTAATACCAAAAAATGTATATGTTGTCCATTGCTAAGATATAGAATTATAAGATTGGTTGCTGAAATATGTGATATTCTTTCATATTTAATAAGCTATGCATAAATTTTTCTCTGAAATTATTGTGCCTCATATGAATTTTTTTAAGTGTTTGTTTTAATAGCAGTATCTAAAATGATAAACAGAATTTCTTACACGTATTAGTTTTGTACAAATTCCCAAATTGTATTTAAAAAAGCATATTAGTTTATTGTAATCACATACTATCGTTAACTGGCATGCCATGTGGTTATGTTCCTAGACAGATACAACACAATAAAGTTTGTGCTATACATTCACAACTTATGTCTTTGGGCACCAAGAATTGGTCAGCCTCAAACCTCAGTCCATTCCCACAGTTTCACCTCCATAGCTTCTTATAGTCAAAATTCCAGGCCTAGTATTTACATATATATATATATATATATGCATGTTAGTATAAATATGCTTTCTCCTTTTGTTGCTTTGTTTCTTTGCCCCTGCAGTTCCTCCTTCAATCTTTTATTTCATGCTTTCTTTGTTTTATTCTTTACTAGTACATTCAAGTACATTTCTTATCATATAACTTTCCAGAAGTATGATGCAAGACAAAATTATGTGAGTAGAAAGTAAATATTTCAGCCGACTTGTTTTCCATTAAAAGGATTTGGTTCCTTTTGCTTTCCACATTAAACAGTTTATATCGTGGTGTATAGACCTATTGTTAAGCATCAGCAGTACATACATTCATTAAGCAGGCCTTACATGATCAATAATAATGTCATTACCTCCAGAAGTCTTCATTTATTACTTTTCAACCTTATATGATCATTTGAAATGACATTATTTGCTTCAGTACCGCTCAACTCATCAAGAGAGAAGCATATTTATTTTGTGTTGGTTTTCTTGAGTGTTATGATGAATTTTTGCCAAAACGCATGTATTGCTATAATTTTAGCATTAGGTACAAAACGAAATGTTAAGCGCTGGCGCTGGATGAAAAACTGGTTACAAAAACGTGAAGTATTCCCATGTTGTTCTGCTAAAAGAAACTGGTGTGACGGAATCAGAAGATTACAGAAACTATTTTCGTATGAGTGAAGGAACATTTGATAAGTTGCTGAAAATGGTCAAACCATTTTTAATAAGGAAGAACACTAATATGAGGGAGAGTTAACCACTGAATGAAAAATTAGCAGTGACCCTGAGGTATCTGGCTACAGGAAGAAACTTTGAAGACCTCAATTTTTCAGCTGTCATGTCACCTGCTGCAATAAGCGTTGCTGTTGTTGAAACGTGAAGTGCTTATGTACGTTCTGCAGGAGTATATGAAGGTAAGTCCTCTTTTGTATAATTGTTTTGTATCAATGATTTGCTCATTGTATAAGTTAAAATTCAAGTGCAGTAGGGTATATTTGAAACATATCAACTAGTTACAAATTATTTATTAGAATACAATATCTTGAACAGTGAAACACAAAATTCTATTGAAAAGCCTGTGACTAACAAAACATGAAACTAGCAATGAAACTGTTAACATGAACAATGTCGATGAGTACATCACTAATAAATAATAAGATTATGAATTACGAAGATAAAAGTTAATTATACTTGTGCATCACAATTTGAACCTTTTGTCAAAAACTGTCAATAAGTACATCGTTAAAGGTTATAAAATATGAAAGTAAAAGCAATCAAGCAAGCAGTCTCCATTCATAGATCCATAGATCCCCATAAGGGAGACTTGTGAATACAGTAAAATACAGTCAAAAACAGCAAGCGGGATGACAACTTAGACAAAAAATATTCTTCCAATGAGTAATTTAATTACTAGTATACAATTATTTTATCTCATTGGCCATTATTCATTCATTCCTTCCTTTACCTACACTCTTCAAGACACCAGTTGAGAGAACTCGATTGCAGATATCAGTTAGAGGAGAGCTTATAAATGGGGCGCTAATTTCTATAATTTTAACTGATATTTCGTCATATCCATTAGAATTTGTTTATTTTAAGAACACGATGTTTTCAATCTCTTTGGTAGATGTATAGTTAAGTTTAATTTTTGGGAAGGCAGTTGTGAAAGCCTGAGACAGATAGTTAAAAGCATCATCGTGTATACTGTGGCCAAGATTAGTATTGTTAGTATTAATTTTATCAGCTATGGTTAGGAAATAGTTATTTAATGACTCTGTAATTGTATGACGATTATCCGTTAATTTCCCATCTATATTTAAAGCCTGTATACCAGCATTGTTAAACTTTCTGCCTGTTACAGTTTTTATGATGTTCCAGGTGGTCTTCCTTTTATTGTTAGAATTGGAAATTAATGTATTATAATAAAGTTTTTTTTGCTGCTCTGATAATGTTGGACAAAATTTTGCAATGTTTTATAATAACATATATAACATTGAGGGATTCATGCAGAAACTTATTTCAAGAATTAGAAATCTTGCTTCTGGCATCTCAGTACATACTACCTCTCATGCTCTTTGTGATAAAAAACAGAAACAAATTCATAGTAAATTCAGAGATTCATAGAAAAAATACCAGACAGCAAATTAATCCCCATCAACCTCTTGTAAATTTGAGTAAATACTAAAAGGGAGTTTACTGTTAAGGAACAAAGGTCTATAATAATCTAACACAACATATTAAGGATATATCGAGTGACACAATGAGTTTTGATGTACAATTAAAACAATTTTTATATTTACATCCTTTTTATTCATTACAGGAATATTTTAATTATAAATCTTTTTAAGATGTGAGACACTGTCTTACTTTACAATTTAAAGAAGACAAGATTGTGAGCCTGTGTTCTAGTTTTTAGTTACATACACAATTTTTATATCACTGTATACTAGTCCTTATTTAAATTTATTATACTATTAATGTATGCATATGTTATACAATACTCATTAATGACATTGTGTTTTAACTATTGAATTTTTAATAAATAGACTTGTAACTGTACAAATTGTATAAGTTTTGCCAGTACTTTTAACTACTAAAATTAACTTATTATATTGTATATGTTTATCAGTATTTTATTACAATTGTGTATGCTATTGGATGACAACTCTAATTCTTAGTTGTGACTGTAACTGGGACGATCTCCACATCTGCATGAGAATGTATTCTCGACAGGATTTTCTCAGTTTATGTTTGAATTTATTAATATCATGTACAGCTTGCTTGATATTGGGGGGTGGAGAGTTAAATAAGGTAATATCAGAATAATGTACTCCTTTTTGAACTTTAGTTAGACTTACTAAAGGAACATGAAAGTCCAAATTTTGGCAGATATTTACTTTATGCAAGTCAGTATTTATTGTGAAAAAAATCCTTATGCTTTACAACAAACATAAGAGTTGAAAAGATATATTGGGAGTAAAGAGTTAAAATTCCAAGTTTACTAAACATTTCCCTACAGGAATCCCTTGCTTTGGCTTTCATGATAATTCTTACAATTCGTTTCGGGGTTATAAAGATCTACTGTATGGCAAATTACCCCCAACATGATGCCATAATTTACACCTAATGAACATAGGAGAATTCTAATACAGGTCTGAGGGAATGAACCATGTAGCCTAACAAATTTAACTTTGAATTTATATAATCAATATGTTTTTTCCATGTTAATGAAGATTCTATTATAATACCTAAAAATTTAATGGAGTTAGTAGAATTAATTTTATAAGTATTGAATTCAGTGGCATCCAAAGTCCGATGACTAATATTTGGAAGGTACTGCATAAAGTTAGTCTAATTATAATTTAATAGCATTCTATTTGAGTTAAACAATTTTTGTGTAATTTCCAGAACTACAGTACTTTAACATCTTGGTTCACCTTCACTGAATCAGAATTTGATATTGTAAAGATAGTATCATCTGCAAAGAGTATCACTAAGGCTTTGCCTTTTACTAATTTAGGTAGATCATTTATATAAAATAAAAACTATAAGGGTCCAAGAATCGACTCTTGGAGCACTCCATGTTTAACCAATATCCACGCTGAAACATAATTTGAAGCATACGACGACTTAATTATTACTCTGATACCTATTACTTAAGTATGATTTAATTAATTCACCAAATCTACCTACTATGCCATAATACTCTAATTTAGATGTCATGATTTACAGTATGAAAAGCTTTCATTAGGTCACAGAAAATTTCACTAACTGATGATTTCTTACTAATTTGTGATAAAATTTCATGCAGGATCTTGATCTGTTGTGCCAATTTAAGTTTGTTTGTAACCACTTGTAGGTATTATTTTAATCTAACACAATTTACACATGAGATAATACCACTTTCACTAAATAGTGAGAGACTAAATCAAGCGTCTCTCTGATGTCTTCGACCGTATTACATCCCATGCATGTAAATTATCATCGAAACAAAAAGGATATGAGACGATGTAAATGAGTAGACTGATGGGTTTCTTCTTCTTCTTCTTCTACTTCTTCTCCTCCTCCTCCTCCAACACCTACATCGTCATCATCACAATAACTATCTTCTTCTTCTTCATCAGCTGATGATCCTCGTTGATTTTTCACAGAATATCTGTGTAGAGTGCCTAGACTCACCTCAAGAAGTATATCACTAATAGCGTTCTCAACTAAAGCTCTTTGCTGAAGCTCCAATGTGCTGAGCGTATTGAGTTTCTCACCCCAAGCCTTGGCAATAGTATGAATATTTTCTTTGGGTTCCTTCGGTTTGTCTAGACACGAACAAGCTTTCTGTAGAAGCTCACTCTGTTTCGCAATTAGTCGAAGTAGACGTTGTTTCTTGGGTGGTGGTGGAAGAACTGATGATCGTGATACAGTAAGGGCTGCCGGTGTCGGGAATTGTTCTCCATGTAACTCAGTGTCTGTTCCATCATGAGTGTCCTGAATGTAAATAAAAATTATTGTTATTATTACTAAATGTATCTTGTATTTTTTTTTCTATTTAATTTTTTTTTTTTTTGCAGTTTCCCAGAACTCCTGAGGAATGGGTTGACATCGCTAGTGATTTCGGCCATCTACATCAATTTTGGAATAATCTGGGGGCAGCTGATGGCAAACATATTATCATTAAAAACTCATGAAATCAGTTTCCTTATACTACAATTACAAAGGGGGTTTCAGCATCGTGCTGTTAGCTGTGGTAAATGCAACAAAGGACTTCATCATGTTAGGTGCTGGCATTTTTTTTATTGCTAGTGGGGTGGGAGTAAGTCCCTTGTACTGCGGCCACTTCTGGCCTATTGTACCAGCCCCAGATGATAGGTGAGGGTGATTGTGGAGCAATTGGTGGAATGAAGACAGGGGAAACCGAAGTACTTGGAGAAAACCTGCCCCAGTGCCACTTTGTCCACCACAAATCCCACTTGACCAGACCCGGGATTGAACCCGGGCCACCGCGGTGGGAAGCCAGCGACTAATTGCTTCAGCTATGGTGCAGCCTTGTAGTTGATGGCATGAATGGATGAATGTCGGATGGAGAAGTTCTGGACTACTCAAAATTTGGGGAACTACTATAACAAAGAGCTCTGAATTTGCCAAAACCCACACCATTACCAAACAGAGCTGAACATTTTCCGTACATGTTCATCGCGGACGAGGCATTTGCATTACTTAATTACTTACTTATAGAGCTGAGCCCTTCTTTAAGAGAAGCCAAATCTGCAGTTACTCAAGAACTTCCCAGCATTTTATAGAACCCGAAGGTTCATTACCGTGTTCACAAGAGCCCTCCACTGGTCTCTATCCTGAACCAGATCAATCCAATCCATGCCATCCCATCCTTTCTCTCTCTCTCTCTCTAAGATCCAGTTTAATATTGTCCACCCACCTATGCCTTGGTCTTCCCAGTTGTCTCTTTCCTTCAGGCTTTCCCACCAAAATCCTATATGTATTCCTTTTCTCCCCATTTGTGCTACATGCCCTGCCCACTTCATCCTCCTTGGCTTGATTATTGTAATTATACTTGAAGAAGAGTACAAGTTATGAAGCTCCTCATTGTGCAGTTTTCTCCATCCTCCAGTCACTTAATCCCTTTTTGGTCGAAGNGAAGCACAGAATCTGGGAAATGAAGGTACGTTACAAACAATGGAAAGGAAGACCTTGGAAAAGGTTTCAAGAACAACAGAAATGGGGAATTCAGTGACCTATGTTTTAAAATGTACGATATAGGGCCGTACAGCATCCACATAAAAGTCAAGAAGCCGGATACCCCTCATCAGTTGAAAGAAAAAACGAAAAGAAGTGGGGACAATTTGACATCTTCAGTGTTATGTCTAAATCTAAGATCAGCTTCCAATCAATTAGACAATATGCTCGATTTATCTTGGATATCACTGCTATCATCTTCATACAAAATTTTATCCAATATTCTTCTCTCAAGGTTAAGTTCATATGTAGATGAAATTATTGGGGATCATCAGTGTGGGTTTTGACGTGACAAATCAACTACTGATCAGATCTTTTGCATTTGTCAGATATTGGAGAACAAATGGGAGTACGATGAGACAGTATGAAGAAAGCAGTCTTCTGGGATTTGGCACCGTGTATATGTGGGGTTAACCGACGTTTCGGAGGAACGTATCGCCCCCATCTTCAGGGTTGAAGAAGTATAAGTCTGCTTGACCGTGTCTCACGGTGTTGTCGCTTGCAGATTTACTTATACGTCTTCAACCCTGAAGATGGGGGCGATACGTTCCCCCGAAACGTCGGTTAACCCCACATATACACGGTGCCAAATCCCAGAAGACTGCTTTCTTCATACTGTCTCATCGTACTCCCATTTGTTCTCCAATATCTGACAAATGCAAAAGATCTGATCAGTAGTTGATTTGTCACGTCAAAACCCACACTGATGATCCCCAATAATTTCATCTACATATGAACTTAACCTTGAGAGAAGAATATTGGATAAAATTTTGTATGAAGATGATAGCAGTGATATCCAAGATAAATCGAGCATATTGTCTAATTGATTGGAAGCTGATCTTAGATTTAGACATAACACTGAAGATGTCAAATTGTCCCCACTTCTTTTCGTTTTTTCTTTCAACTGATGAGGGGTATCCGGCTTCTTGACTTTTATGTGGATGCTGTACGGCCCTATATCGTACATTTTAAAACATAGGTCACTGAATTCCCCATTTCTGTTGTTCTTGAAACCTTTTCCAAGGTCTTCCTTTCCATTGTTTGTAACGTACCTTCATTTCCCAGATTCTGTGCTTCCGAATGTGCCTGTTGAAATGTCTCTTATTCTCTCCTTTCCTTGGCTTCATTATGATTCCGTGACTCTTTTAAATTTTGGTGTCTATTAGTTCCCTGCTTTACGTCATCGGTTACCGATTTCTTGGATTTTTTACGGCTTCTAACAGTGCTAAACTGCGTAATCAGTTCCTCTTCTGATAACAATTCAGATCCTCTTTTTCCCGCAACTCTCTTCTTTGATTTAACAATCTTACTCTAACTTTGCATGATCCCTGTCTTCCATCACAACTTCTTCTCTTGCTTCGTCGTATTTCTATTTCTACCTCTTCCATTGCATCTGCCTCCATTTCTTGGCCAATTCTATTTCGGGAGAGTCCCTGGTCAGAAGCACGTGGACCCCCAGCCGTTGTATTTTTGCCCGAAACCCGCACTTTAATTACTTCCCGCTTTTAGGTAGCAAATCAAATAACATTTGCCATCGGGAGAATAAATAAAAATAATCATTGTCATCATTGTATTCTAACAGCTGCTATTCGTTGTGGGTCGATAGTGCTCATAGTGCTCATCTCTATGCAGTGTTGCACTCTGGTGACAGATTGGGAAACAAAGTTGTATAGTGCTACACTCTTTTGGATACGTGTTGCGGCGTGACAAAGAAAAGTTGAAATCCGAAGCATCCGAAGGATCGGAAGGATCGGAAGCATCGGAAGTCATCAGTAGATAACAAGGGAGCTGTGTGAGAGGAGGTTGTATGTATGCAGTTGCAGCGGATGCAACCTTTATTTAGTATGAAGTGGAACTAGTGTGGTATATATATTGTTATATTTCCTGTGTATTGTGCCAAGAAGTCCGCTTTAAATATGTCGAGACAGAACGATCGACTGAGTTATGCACAAACTTATAAGTTGGTTGTTGTAGGAGGGGGTGGCGTCGGCAAATCTGCTATCACGATACAATTCATTCAAGTAAGTACATGTCACGTAACTGTGTTGTGATTGATGGTATGTACGTTTAGACGGACGAACAAGTGCTGGGCGAACTTTCCCACAAGCCTGTTGTAGTTAGTATACTGTAACTTATACATTTACAAAAAATGTCACCACTTTACATCAGAGTATGTATATACTATATACAGTAAAAGAAAAAACAGTTTCGTGAACTGTCGTGTACTAATATGGTCACTCATATGCTGGTGCACGCCCGAAGTTCAGTTGGGCTTGAATTGAGTACGTAACCAGTGGGATGATATAACACATTACGAACATAATTTCATCCATGCACGAAATATATACGCTAGTGCCACTAATAAATTATCTGTTGTGTGTTCTTCGATTCATTCTGAAGAACGAAGGGTATTTCTAGTGAATGTGCAGGACCTTGTTAAGCCCATGTAGATATTATATCCAAGAACGGTATCAGGATGCATAAACATTCCGTAGATAATGTGTATGTATTAACCGTCTTCCAAGTGCATACAATCTCATTTATCGCTTCTACACTACATGTTTCGGCAGTATGTTGCAATCTTCAGGTGTATCGATCTGTCAACCACTTCACTTCTTGCCTTTATATGTCCATTTACAAATAATATTAAATTTGTATACGTCCTTATATAATAATAAAATTTATGTTAGGTGGGTCCCTGTCACCACGGCATGGCGCGTCCTCAGGTTGGGGATGGAGGAGACACCCTCCAGTTTTGGAGAGAAGCTGCGAATATATTGAATAAGCAGTCGCGGACAGCCGACAAGGGGTGGCCCTCCAGCTTGGGGGTTGGGCGTGGGGCTAGCAACTCCTCGCCGTAAAAAATAATTGTGTTACGAAAATGAACACAAAGCCTCGGACCTGGACGAATTCTTTGGATAAACGACCGAAGCTAATGAAAATGGATATGAGATTTGGCACTTGGAATGTACGAAGTTTGTATAGGGCAGGTTCGCTCAGGGCAGTGGCAGAAGAAATCTTAAAATATAAGTTAGATTTAGCGGGAGTACAGGAGGTCAGATGGGATGGAGGTGGCATCGCACCAGCAGGAGAATATAAATTTTTCTATGGAAAGGGGAATGAAAATCATGAATTAGGTACAGGGTTTTTTTTGTACATAAGAGAATCGTATCAGCAGTTAAGAGGGTAGAATTCATTAGTGATAGGATATCATATATAATACTAAAATGTCACTGGTGTGATATCATTGTTATGAATGTTCATGCCCCAACAGAAGATAAGATTGATGACAAAGGATAGATTCTATGAAGAACTAGAACATGTATTTGATTAATTGCCGAAGTACCCTATGAAAATTTTGTTAGGATATTTCAATGCCAAAGTAGGGAGGGAAGACATTTTCAAACCAACAATTGGGAATGATAGTTTGCATGAAATTAGTAATGATAATGGACAACTCTTTTATAGACCGTCAAAACACAACAAATAGAAAAAATCAGGGCTTCGCTACATGTTTCAGCCACTAACGGCCATCATCAGGCAAACGCATATCATCAAACACACCATTGAACTGCTGTACAATAGATTGGATACAATGTTAAAATACTTTGTGTAAAAATACAATAAGTCAGATTATATAAGAAAACTGGAAGTTATTGTATAAAACAAGATGAAACTTAATTAATGTTATACAACATCGAATCGGTCGTTGATTTTTTACTTTTCATACGTTTCTATGGACCAATTGGAAGTTCAATATTTCATTTATATAAGAATGTATAGGAGGCCCATGATGTTGCAAATTAATTAATTGTGTAATCGGTGCTTCATCTTACGGATAATTGCCCGTACCCTATGGAAAGTAAACAAGAGTTGTATATTGTAACACAACAGGATGCACGAAATGAAAATGAATGATAATGGAGTTATAGTTGTAAACTTTGCCACATCAAAAAATCTTACTGTCAAAAGTACAATGTTCCCAAATCGTAACATCCATAAATTTACTTGGACATCTGCTGAAAGGAAGATACACAATCAGATAGACCATATTTTGATAGATAGGAAGTGGCACTCAAGTATACTTGCAGATTCCCATAACATTTTGAATAGTTGGAGGAACTACTCTCAGTTATTGAATGTACATAGGGTCAGTGATGTCAGGCAGACAGAAATCCATACAGCTGAGCTGTTAATACCTGATCCTAGCCCCTTTGAGGTTGAAAGTGCTATTGCAACAGTGAAACGGTATACATCACCAGGTAGTGATCAAATTCCGGCAGAACTTATTCAAGCAGGAGGAGAAATATTACATTCTTGTGGCTGCGTGCAGAACACACCATAAGACATAATATACACACAACATTAGAAACATAAGAATGACCTCCATGTGGATGATTAATAACACACACAAATTTAAAATATGACATATGAGATAATACTACGTTTTAACAAATTTTAAATACATAAATACAAATTTAATATTATTTGTAAATGGACATATAAAGGCAAGCAGTGAAATGGTTGACGGATCAGTACACCTGAAGATGGCAGCATACTGCCGAAACATATAGTGTAGAAGTGATAAATGAGATTGTATGCGCTTGAAGATGTAATACATACACATTATGAATATGAATCAGTGCAACAGGACGCTAAAATACAACATTCCATAGATAAATGTGAAAGTTATCTTGTAACTCTTTAGTTGTGTATTGTATGACATAGCCATGAAGAGTAGGAAAATTGGAGAGAACTGATACACAAGATGTCGATCCCCTTCCAGTCTAGTTGATAAAAGAGGCGGTATCAATATTTGGTAGCATTAAAGAATTGAGAACTACTAGGATTGAATTACAGGTATATTATGCATTTTATTTAATGGGAGAAGAAACCTGAGCGCATTAAAATGGGATATGTTGTTGCAAATTCATGTTGACAAGTTTGCTCTCGTTTTGATTGTTGCACGACGTGAATTCGGACTGGCATGCATATAGAGGCTAATTTTACCCTAGTCAGAGACGTCGCGGCAGGGCCCGTCAGATAAACATTCCCGCAATGAGTCAGTCACCACTTGAAGTTGGGGAAACATTTTGCCATTGGTTGAAACCGCAGACGGCGAAGTGAAGACAGCGGAACAATATTTAACATAACATGAATTTTCGAGAATCCTAAATATGGCATTGTCGCGGTCGAGTATGTAGTAAGAAAGGCCTTAATACCATATCTTCCAACTTAACGTGTAGAGAACGCCGAGGACTTGCAATTTATAAGGGTATTTTGTGTTTGCGCACAGGCATATCGTAATATGAATTTCCCACATTCCTAAATGTATCACTGTCGCACTCATTATCGTAAGCAAGGCCTTGGTACCTTGTCTTCCAGTCTGATGTGTAGAGAACGCCGAGGACTTGCGGTTTATAAGGAAATTTTGTGTTTGCGCACAGGCATATCCTAATATGAATTTCCAGAGAATCCTAAATATAGCATTGTCGCACTTGTGTATATCGTAAGTAAGGCCTTGGTAGCATATCTTGCAATCTGATGCGTAGAGAACGCCGAGGACATGCAGTTATAAGGGAATTTTTTGTTTTTGCGCAGGGGTATGACTATTATAAGGGTGGCCTTCAGAAACTTTGTTCTGAATGTATATGGGAAGGAAGGCTGTAATTTTTGTAACGCAATGATTGAGGATAGTACACGAGTTTGGATGTTACGGCACTTCTCGGTTGATCCGTGATAGCTTTGGTTCCAGTGCATGTTCGCAGCGTCGAGAATGTTAGAGAAAGCCAGGCATCTGCCATTCCCCGCCCCCCCTCCCCCGCGATTTTTTTCGAAACTCAATATGGAAGAAAGGAAATATGTCAAATAGTGGTGTCAACGGTTAGATTCTTTTTTTTATAATTAGACTCTTATTTCGAATGCTTTAGACTTATCAGTAAAAATAATCTTAAACGGTTTGAATATAAGTTTGTTATCAAATTGTTTGCCTCCCCCCGAAAACAACTGTGTTTTGAAATACAGGCTTCTTTTCGAAGAAAGACTACTACTGGCCAATCCCCCTCAGAGTTAGACTTTCATACTACTGACGGTTTACCGCCAATCAGTTCGTCTTGTCACCAGGCCCCTTGAGGCCCACCAGCAGGTCCCCACCCCCTGAACCCTTGAGCTCATAGTCCATATGTAACACATTCTCTGACACAAGGCGGGTTTGTCTCTTATGAATATGATTGGCTTTTCGTCAAGTTTACGTATCGCACATATAGCGTACGTCTACATGGCTATGGGGAATGCCTTATCCCGGGAAGCGGTCCACATCTATACGCAAGTCTTGCAGCTGTTTACTGAGCTCATAGCACCACCTCCAAATGTCATTTACATTAAATGCTGTAACTCACTCCCCCTCTGCTAACTGGCCCTGCTTGTAACTTCTCGGCACGGACCGCGTAGAAAACGCTATTCTTCTGTTGCAGTGCAGTTGTTGCGTTCATGTCTGTTCGGGTGGCCACGTAATCGCTTCTGAGCTATTATTGCCTAGCAGCGCTGTTGTTTGCAGAGCCATTACTTAGCAACGGCAGTTCTATAGTTCGCGATCGTTGCCTAGCAAGGGTGTACATTCCACAATATTATCAAATTTTTAATATGCCTAGATCGGTGTTAGTATTGATTTAGGTAAGTATGTGGAACGTTGCCGAATTACTTCCGACACGGACGAAATTGAGATATGTAGTCTTCGAAAGCAGATATCTTGCTGGATTGTTGCTTCATCTCCTCAGATAACAATTCGCTACCAGTTGGCTGATTTTAACTAGTCAGAGTCCTTATGTAATCAGCATAAACTAAATCACATAACGACTTACTTACTTATGGAGCTGAGCATTTCTGGAGGAGCCGCCAATTCTGTAGCTACTCAAGAATTTCCCTGCATTTTATGGAACCCGAAGGTTCATTACCGTGTTCACAAGAGCCCTCCACTGGTCCCTATCCTGAGCCAGATCAATCCAATCCATACCATCCCATC